GATAAAATGTAAAAAAATAAAGAAACAATAAAATAAATTAAAACTAACCCTGCCGCCCCTGCCATCCGGTTGCCATTCACCATTGATATAGTGGGGGATGGATTGGCACGGGAAGGGGGGCGCATTGCGGAACCTGGCCTTTGGGGCAGCAGGGAGAGTAAATCCGGCCCTGAACACATAGTGCAACAAGTATCCCTGATATGGATTTAGAGGAAAAAGGCTAACTATTGGGGCCTAACTTAACTCTTTAGACCCCGAGGCCCCTCTAAGAAAATTTCACCATAGGCAACAGTGTCATCAAAAAGCTGTAAACAAAGTTCAAAACACAAAAGGGTGACTAAAAGGCCACTTGCCAATCTGACGTCCCACGAATGTCCTCTTGGACAAGTATGTCTCCTGATGGCAACTCCTGCAGGCTTGATAAAGATGAATGAGGAGTAGGCTGCATCGTTCTGGCTGGATAATGGTTGGTGAGAGGTAGGTCACACTGTCTCTTGCAAGGATGTGGCAGATGGGAGGTAGGTCACAATGTCTCTGCTAAGTCTCCCCCAAGGCTTCTGGATCACCTTCCCCTAGTGTAGCTGACCAGTGTGGGTCAAGTGTGTAGCCCTAATTAATAAAATAATTAACACAAGGAGTGGAGTTTGTACAAAAAGGGAGTAAGCCTTCAGTTGTGCTTGGGGAAGCATCATGTAAAAAAAATGATGTATACTTTTGGAAAGAGGTTTTCTGGTGATGGAGGTGGGAGTGAGATATTTTAGTTCATATAAATGTTGCCAACATATGCTTCTTTTCAGCTGCCTTTTTGGGTAAATATGAAGTGTCACACGGACTTTTCTCTGTACAATTCATATTTTTTATGCTGTGTCTCAAAAATCTTCAACCAAAAATAGGCATTCACTCACATGACAAGTAGAAACATTTACAATGCTCATGCCAAAAAACATCTCCAAGCAGTTTATTTATGGACTACTTGCTGATAACAGCTCACGGAACAGACCTGTTACAGCCAATATCTAGACAAAGTCCCTCAGGAGTATTCTATTGTTAGGCCTGCCATTTACAACTCTCCATAACTTTAAAATGCCATGGATATTTTATGGCAATACAAAAAAACAATATAATTGGACACAATTGTACAGATTGGCCTCTAGGCCTGATCACTGTCAGTGACATCATCTGGCACCAAAGCTTACTTCGTCTGACACCACAGCTTACCATGCATGAACTGTAGCAGGGAGGCAGAGAGGACACATGCATAGGTGAGTACATCCTGCTTGTGAGGGGCTATCAACAGACACTGTCACTTTGTCCTCATGGGCAAAGTAACAATGTCCACAATTTGTTCTGCCAATATTGGATTTTTTTCAGAAAGAAAGAAAGTTTTAAATTAATATAATAAAATAATTTTATATTTTCAGGGATAAATGTGGATACAATTTGAGCACCTCAAACTTCCAACTTTGGCATAACAAAGTTTGGTATTACATTAAATGGAATGTTGGTACTCATATAGGCATACTTCTAGGGAATATTTGTGTACTCATATGCTACATAATTTTTTTGTGCAACATTCTTTTTGAAGTAAGGTTTGGTGTTATGTTCACATTTTACATGCTTTTTCGTATTTCTGTTATTATATTAAATGCAGGTTTTTTTTCATGTTTAATAGAGTGGGGAAAGGTTAGTGCTTTTGTCAGATTTCTCCTGGCTTTTTGTTGGGACAGTAAGTGAGGGAAAGTCTTTCCAACATGATCACAGTTCAAGAACAAATCACTATATATTAGTAGAGTTTGGAAGAGTTAGAACCTCCAACAACGTTTTATTGCTGTCTGCAGGGCCATCGTCTAAAATGAGGCAGGCTGAGGTGATTGCCTCATGAGGTATCTCATTGGGTCACGTTGGTGGATGTCAGGTGTGTTGCCCACTTTCCAGCCAGAGTGTCTCAGGTTGCTAAGAGCTCTTAGTAACCTGTGATGTTGTAGCCAGCATCCCACCCAGCTCACTGATGTCACTGGTTGCCAAAAGCTAAGCAGAACACTCTGGTGTCCCATCCAGCTCCCAGCGACCAGTGATGTTATTGAGCTGGGTGGGACGCCAGACAGAGGTACCATGCACCCTCCCATAACATGTACCACCAGCACAACCCTCCTGGCCTCAGGCAATGAAAACTGTAGAAATGACCCAAGCTGTCTGTCTTCCTGACAACCGTTGCCCCCATTTCTTATCGAAGAAGGCCCCGGGAGCAAGGAAAAATCTCCCCAGTGGGGTCACAGACCTCTGTAAGAAGCTGTTACAGGTTTGAAATCTCCCACATGCAAAGCTAGAAAAGAAAGAAATGTCTGAAGTTAGACTTTAAAGGGGTCTTTAAAGAAACAAAATCCATATATGGCCAAAGAATCTCATTGCTGGTATGGACCGCCATTTTATTGGGACTGAGAGATGCTACTTGACCTGATTGAATGTGCAATGCTACCTGCAGGTGAAGCATGATATTTCATCCTGATCCAATATGACTATATACCAGAAAGGCCAGGCTTTAGTTCATTGTTTAGAAGACATTTACCAGTTGGGACATTTCTATGCTGCGACACAGGTCAGAATCAGTAAAGTTTTTTTAATGTAGCATGGAGAACTGCTTTAAAGATGTACGGATTAGCAAACGAAAACGTTAACTATACTGCTGCTAGTGTAAAGAGGCTATACGTACAGTCACAGTTGGAGTGAGAGTTTTCCAGGATACTTCCGGTCTCTCTGGTTACCCGTGGGCTTGTTAATGATTGTACTTGTGTCCTTAACTATGAACATTAATGTGATTCCTGTATGGTAGACTGTACGACATAATAATCAGCAGCTTCTTTTCAAGTTTCCATTGACATCTAGTGAAAAAAATTAGTATTACATGAATAATAAAAGCATGACTGTAATTACTGTAAAACATTCTAATTTAGACTCTGCATTCAGCTCTTAGCTTTTCTAAGAATCCAGTGTATTTCAGCATCTCCCTCTGCTAGACTGGGAATAGGTTTGGCTGCTGAGCCATGAAAGGGTTAGGTGCAAGCTTTTATTTATTTGCATGGGTCAAAGAGGAATTGCAGTCCATATTAAATAAAATACATATATATATATGAATAGGTTTAAAATTAAAAAGCTTACGGCCTCACTTCTCAGTCCCCTTTTATTTTTATTTTTCTCTACTTCCTTCAATTTTACTTTTTAGTTGAAGAACTATCTCTTATCCAGCACCCTTGTTTGATTGTGAACCCCAGTTCTCTTTTTCCCCTAGTATCTTACTGACTAAATTATTATGCAACTTTTCTTCATAAACATAGTCACTGCAATGACTTCAATTCATATGGAAGACTTTGGGGGTGATTTACTAACCTAAACACACGCAGGCACTAGGTGCGTGTGATTTTTACACAGCAAAACTTATTTATCAACCAAAAAGTCTCTAAAAGCATATTTCCACTAATGCCATATATGGAAAAATCATGCACATGATGCATATATAATGCTGCTTCACAGTTTAGACAAAAATGGTTAGCTCATGCATTTACATTCCTATGTCTGTGTATTGTAATGCAACCCTCAGCAGCAGCGGATCCGTATTTCGGATTAAAAAAAAAATATTGTCATGTTGTTCAACCTCATTTACAGGGGTAATATTAGTTCCTGTTTCAAAGAAACTCGGATCCGAAATTCGTTAACGGAATTTCGTATTTCCGATATAGTTCGGAAACTGCAATTCGGATTTCGGATGCTTCCGAATTTACGAATTTCAGGAAAATTTTTACGAATTTCGATTCGTAACGAAACGAATCGCACATGTCTAGAACACACTACAGAGGTGTATACTTGCTCGTGGCGTGTTTATAAGGTTAGTAAATCAACCCCTTTATCTTCTTTCTTGTTTCCGCCCTCTCACTTATCTTGATGGTCTTCTATTCCTCGTTTCTGCCCCCTCAATTATCTTGATGGTCTTCTATTCCTCTTAGTTTTTTTTCTCTTGTTACCTCCATAGACTTACCACAGACTTTTAAATAGCTAAAAATCTGATTTCTGTTGTGTAATTCTGTTGTGAATTACTCCACATGAGTATTGTCTGCATTATTTGTTATGATGATTTGTAATGATATGGTTAATGACATGAATATGTCTCACTGCATTATGTTCTTGGTAAGATCTTTGTCTTTGGCTAGCCTCCCTTACTAGCAGGTTTTAGGTGCAAAGGAAAATTAAGTAACAGTAATTATAACAAAATAAATTATCTTATATCAGTCCCCATAGATCTGACTGCACGTTGCACTTAAGCTTTGCTTTTTGTGGTGCCTCATTAAAAATCCTGAATGTGCTTATGCTTTATTTCATTTTACACTACATATATATTTGAGAAATAATCATTTAATACAGGCGCTTATGTGACACATGGTTCGTAGTGCATACTAGACTTTCTAATAGGAAAACCCAGCACTACATATTAGCCCTGACAAAAAGTCTATACAGCTTCATATGAGCTAGCAGAAAGCTGTTTGTGTGTTGGAAATAGACCTGAATAGCAGAAGATCAAATATACACGCTATCCACAACATAGTGGTACATGACTTAGAAGATGTTGGAAAGAAAAGCCTTGAGTGTTCCACCTGGTGGATGCCAGGGGTACATATGAGATGATATTTATTTTTCATATTTACCTGACTAGCAAGAAATACTTTTGTATTTTCTTTGTTTCCTGAGCATAATAAAAAATGAATAAACTGTATAAAAAGCATGATACAGTCCCTTTAATGGTGTCATTTGCTCCAGGATCCAAAAATGCTGAGGTTAAATGTAACTTTACTCTAACTCAGACAGTTAATAGATGATCTCTGTTGTTTTTTTCAGTTCTTATTGCACTATTTATGCTCATATTGCTCTCTTCATTGCCCTGTTTATTGGGACAGAATGAATTGTTTACAAGACCCATGCAAAGCAATGCTTTTATATTTCTTATTTTTTAGATTTGTTAGATGTCTGCCCCACAAGAAAAGGTAATCCTATCGGTCAGACCTGCCAGAAAGCATGTATACAAGATCAAGAGTGCACTAAGAATAGACCAAAATGTTTGTGTGATGGAGAATGTGGAACGAGCTGTATCAAACGTAAGTCCACACACAATATATTGTGGAACCTTGAGCAAATTACTTGCTTAATTTTTAATATTATAAATCAGGTAATCAGGATAAAGAATGTGTGCTGGAAATGACATTATTTTCAATGACAAAAGCAGAAACCAGATATCTCCACTTAAAATAAAATTCTCTGTTTTATTGGATTGGGATAGGATCTGATCCGTACACCTTTCAGGGATGCAGTCCTGGTCAGGTCATTCAGAACAGATTTCTCCATACAGCTGAAGAGCCTAGGCCAAGTGATTTGGCCAAACTTTTTTTATTTAACTGGCTGGGAATCGAAAATAGTATCAAAAGTGGTTGCCTGAAATCAAGTAAACTAAACTACCACAAGTTTGATCGACCACCTGAATTTGATTGAACAAATCGACAGCTTTATTACTAAATAAAAAAATAGATCAAAACCAGAAAGAAAAAAAAAACAGTTTAGCTGAAGACAATTAGATTTTTCTGCTTGGTTCAATCTAGGCAATTTTTATACCATTTCCTTGCTGCTGATCAAAATCACTAATTTCCGTGTTCAGTTTATTGGGATTTCGATTTCAGCTTGATCAAAAGTGGGTGAAATGGACAGAAAGTTGCCGAGTATATGGCCTGCTTTTAAACTTAAAGGAGAAATATTGGGAGAGTAAAATGTACTTTTCCCTACCGGTGTCACTGGTCGGCTCTATAGATTAAGAGCTGAGAGATCACAAACATCAGCTCATGTTCTTCTTGCACAGAGAGGAGACTGTCAGTCACTGCTCCCTCCAGGGATTCCCCCTCCCCTCTGTGTTCGTCCAGTGTTCATGCAAGGGACAGACAGGAGATGGGGTGGACACAGCTGGATCTGGCTCTAGAGAGGCAGAGAAAACTGTCAATCAGGCAGCAGGGTGGATCCCAACAAATATTGTTGGGATCTTTCCCAGATGCAGCGTGGCTCTGCACTGTCAATAAATAGCGGGCAGTAGCACGCTACATGCTGACTTTGGGTCACAGGAATAAATTAGTAAATTAACTCCTATGACCCAAAGAGGACTAAAGCCAAAAGAAAGGTTTGGCTTTAGTTATTTTTTAATTAATCAACTGCAGCAGTAAGTGGGCATGAGGTTACAAAAATATATACTGAGTGGCCAGAATATTATGACCACCCCATCAGTACTTAGTTGGACCACGAGATGACTCCACAAGATGACTTCGTTGGGCCGCCTCGTGACTCCACGAGATGTTGAAAGGTGATGCGAGGAATCTGACACTGCACTGTTGCCCTTCTGTTGTCTTGTACCAGTCTTGCCACTCTCCGTTCTGCCCTAACATTGACTAGTCGCTGACGGCCACAATTCGCACGTTCAGACCCAGATTCTCGGCTGACAGTCCAGTCTTTAAACACTTTAACAACAGCTGCTCTTGAACATTTAACAAATTCTGCTGTTTTGCTGATACTCGCTCCATGGCTCCAAGCGCCAACAATCATCCCACGTTCAAAGGCTGTTAAATCGCGTTGTTTACCCATATCTTCAGAAACAAATCACTTCTGCTGTTGTGGTAAACAACCTGCTTCCCTATTTATAATGGTCTGGCCCTCTAGCAACTTCAGCGCAAAATTATAGCTAATTATAGCTAATTTGCCTACAAACGTCAGGTGGTCATAATAATCTGGCCACTCAGTGTATAGCCTGCAGCAGACAGTAATGACAGTGGTGGGTCCGTCAAAGTCACTCTGACTTGATTTGGTATAGAGGGCACCATCAAAGGTAACCAAGGACTAACAATGGCACAAATGGTTTGGACAGTTTCACCAAAAATATATGTAAGCCCGCATTTATGGATTGGGCACAAACCATGTCTAGTTTAGACTTGTACAAAGCAGTTTGCTCATTTGTATTAGAAAATATGGTCCTTACCTTCTACATTTTAAACCTAAGTGGAAATAAGGTTTTCAATATATTAACACTTCCTTTAAAATTATGTACTAATGTTAACCTTTATATAAATACTGGGGGTTGATTTACAAAAAGCAAATAGGCTGTTCACTTTGCAAAGGGATTTTCACTTTGCAAGGGAATTATCCTTAGACAAGTGAATGTAGTAAAAATTCATTTTGCAAAGAATACCCAGTCACGAGCAAGGAAATAAAAACAAAACATGATTTTTGCTTACACATGATTGGATAATGAAAGTCAGCAGAGCTTTACCTCATTTACTAAGCTAAGGGAACAGCCTATTAGCCTTTAGCAACCCCATTGTATCTAATAACCTTTACCTAGACTATAAATTCTCTTTAATAACTTCAGAGATTTTTATTTTTTTTCAGAAAAATCTATTGGATATTATTTTCACTTCACCATCACAATAACAAACATATTGACCCCTTGACTTCAGTCTACATCATTTCAACATGGCAAAATGACATTCTATATTACTTCCATTTACATCATTATAAATCTGCCCTACACCAGGCAGTGACTGGGTCACTTAAGCTAGTTCATTACTGAAAACCACTCACCCTACTGTCGAATGTCCATACATCATAATTATATTAATACAGCCCAGCTGCAGAATACGAAATATCACATCACATCATCTAGAAACACATGAATAAAATATCAATAACTGAAAAAAAGCATTTAATGTGCCATGGGAAATGCACTGTAAAATCACAGTGCGGCGGTATGTTTATCACAGAGAAACATTAGTTTGACTTCGTGGCACACATGTTACAGAGAAGGGCATTGTGGTAATCCAGACGCTCTGTCTCTTAGATTACTTTTATCACTAAAGGGAAGGTGACCAGATGGTGCAGCCTCATCTCATATCATCATTCACATCTGACTTATTAAAGGTGCACAGTGTCCTCAAATGAGTTTATACTGCACAGAAATCAGGAGTACAGATTGAAATAAATGTGCTTACATTTTACTGCAATCTTTCTGATACTGCTAATGTTGCTGGACTTATTTAATAAAATAAATGAAGTAGATGCAGGGCCTGATTAAAATAGGGGCTGGAATGACCACCTGCAGGACCACCACTGAAACATTTTGCCCGGAAATTGTACTATGGGCAAAATGCCGATGCATCCCTAGCTTCCCTCCTCCCCCCTGGGAGCCAGTCTGCATCCCCTCCAATCCCCACTGCTCTCCCCTGCCTGTGTTGGCAGCAACAGTGGGGATCGGAGGGGACAGTGGGGAGAAGAAGCTGTCAGGAAGCAGAGTGGGATTGTGCGGGGAGGAGAGACCTGTCAGGATGCCGAGTAGGGTGGTGCAGGGAGGAAAGAGCTGTCTGGATGCCAAGTGGGGTGGTGTGGGAAAAGAGCTCGGCTCCTCTGATAGGTGGAGCAGTTAGGATGGAGAGCAGAGTACTCATCGCTGAGTGTTGTGTGTGTAAATAACTGAGGACATAGTAAGCTTGCTATGTCCCCAGTTATGAATGAACAGCAAGTGCTATATATCCCTCCCTGTTCATTTATGAATGGGGACATAGTAAATATTTACTATCTGCTCACTTTATGAATGAACAGGAAGCAGCTCAGTATAGAGGCTTCCTGTCCATTCATGACTGGGTTGATAGTAAATATTTACTATCTCCAGTTAGACCCCTGATATTTTCCCAAAACCCCTAACAGTAAAGTAAGAAAAAAATGTAAATAAAATATTTTTTTTTAAATGATAAAACATTTTAAAAAGGTTGGAAAAAAGTAATTTTTGGTTTAATTTTCGGCCTGACAAATTGTTTAAGATATATATATCTATATCTATATATAGGTATATATAGATATATATAATATGTACAGTATATGAGCAGGGTAGCTAAATGGTAACCACCCTCGGCTGTCATAGCAGACATAAACTAATGCAGGCCACACACATGTTCTTTTTAAACAGTATTAAACACTCTTATTCATCTTTTAATTGTAAAAACATTTGCACAGATTAACCTACCACTAACATTTTAGATCATTTAATGTCATTGACAAAAACTGTAGTTTGCTTTTTTTGGTATTTTTGCAATTAAAAATGACTTGAAAGGGGTTGAGATTATTAGAAAGTTATCCATTGTGACCAGAATAAAAAGGTATTTGTAGAATACCAGACAACTCTTCACACATACAGTATCTGTGTGTTGGATTGCGTGTTTATATTGAGTTGTAATAACCGGAGCCTTTTTTGCTCAGATGCAGCACCCCAATCAAATGCAACAACCTATCTTATTAATTTTATTGCACTCTGTTTAAGTGGTTAATTCTGATTGGTTTCTTCCGATTACTTCACTTTGCACACATTATTTTGCACTTTGCCGGTTAATAAACCCTATTAAAATTATGGCATGAACAATGTGGATTAGTATTGCTTTGAATTCTATTTTTAACAATTCCAGGGCAGGTTTTATTTACCAAAATAATATAACAATATTTATTACCTTTTGTTACATTTTACAATTTGAAATAGGTTGGGCTGTGGAGTTATACATAGATTATGGTTCTTCAGGAAACAATTAAGGCAGTGTTATGTGGATGTGTTTATTTTAAAGCCCGAAACAGCTGCCTATGGCCTGTGAACATCGAGAATGCTAACACAACTCTGAATCAGAAAACAAAAAACTTTGGTGACCACATGACAGTAGGCTGTCATCCAGGATTCAAAATGGCCAATGGACAGGAGGTGGCTCTCAGCCGTTGTCAAGGAGATAAGAAGTGGAGTGTGACAGCACCATGTGAAGGTAACAGCAATATGACATGATTCATTTTTATTTTAGTGCTGTGTCTCTGCAAATTTTCCCTTTGAATTTTTAAACACGTTGTCAGTGGGAATGCCAGAGGATGGACCTGGGAACAGCTGTTTCCTGCTTCTGCCAGAGAGAGTACTTATCAATTGCCATCTATTCTAATTCATCACTATTTTACAATTGTAACTACAAAAGCCTTTACGAATAATTACTATAATGTTACAGCAAATACAATAGCTACAAACACATAGTTGTATCGCAAATTTTTAAAGCAACCCAATTGTTCAGTTAAATAGATTCCAAATGCCAAGGCCTTCAAAAGCAGAGGCTGTATACCAATCTATCCTGCCACCCGTTTTCTCTATCTTTGCTGTCTTGCTAAACAATGACCTCTTCATATTAGACACATTTTTGGGTGTGGCAGATACCTGGTACCTGCATTGCTCAGTGGTACCTTCCACTAGCTCCTAAGTCACCACAGGACACAGTAGTGACCTATAGGTCAGCAGAAAGATGCACATCATGCGGCAGGGGAAGATAACATCCAGCTCCCCTTGAAGCGTAGAATGAGAAGATTCTTCAGGCAGCTGTAGCTCTTGAATAGGGCAAAGATCAGAAGAACAGATAATGAAAGAAGTGAGTACAAAACCTTTTGTTTTGCAGGTCCTGGTTTTACATTTTTTATTTTTACTCAGCAAAAGAGTCATTTCAAAGCATATTTTGTTAGCGACTTATAATTTACAGGACCCCATATGTGCATCTCTGGCCCTTTGTGCCTCTGATCCTACATTATCATGCCCTCCAGCATTGTAGTTAAATAATGCTAGAGAGACGTTTGAGGTGAATCTGTTTATGTGCATTACTCTAGGCAAAATATGAGCATCCAGTCTAAATGGCACAAAATGGAACTCCCCGGAGTTCTATTAAACCTGCAAGTTAGCCCATGCTGGTATATGATCAAACCTTGCCATGCCTGGTGGTGTAGTCATTTTATGTATGGTATTGCTGTCGGACTAGTACAGATGTTGGACTCTCAAGTCAGATCCTGTTTGTTTATAGAGGGAAGAATGCATCTGTGTAGTCGATTGGATCAGTGCCCCCATACAGTCAGCCATTCCAGGAAGTACCCCATTGCCAGTCTCAGCTTCTGAGCATAGATTAATCATCTTTTATATTGGTGAATTCAAAGGCGGGATTGTGGTACATTACAATTACATGTGGTGGAGGTGAATGCCTTTTAATTTTCCAAAACTTAGGTTTTCACTTTCAGTATTTATTATCCTTAAGCGGGAAGGGGATCCTGGAGCCTGTTTGTGTGCCTGTTGAAGAAATTTCACCATCAGTTCCTGCTCCATCTGACACCGCTGACTTGGTCAGAAAGTGTGGAAAAATCTACCTCATTGGGTGATGGGTACCAATAAAATCCTGATAAAGGTTATAATCCTTTCCCTTTCCTTTAATTGCATGCAAACGCCAACAAAGGATATGGGAAGATGTTCTGTAGTCCACATCTAAAGCAAGAAGCTTAGAGTGATGACATAGCTCCTTCACAGATATAGTACAGTATTTAAGGGTTGTCATCCTAAGACAGAGCGTGTGCTGCTGGTATGTGAAAAAAAGAAATAAGCCTGAAAAAAAGAAAACGCATGCAGCCACCATGTCTAACTAATAAGCTGCAATATACAACATTTTAGTTTTTAGGTTTAGATACTCTTTAAATTCAAGGGTTAGGCTAAGGGTTGTCAAATATTAGGTTGCATTTTAAGGGTTAATATTAGGGATTTGGGGTAATGTTATGGCTCATATGATTATAGGAATGGTTCAGAGTTTATGGATTATAGTATTGTGTGGCAATCCAACTGTAGAATTTCGTGTTATGATCCCCCAGGACTTGCAGCCAGATGGACTGAGAGGTGTCAGTAAGGAAGGGATTGTCTGGATTATGCTTGGGATCCAGGAACTGGGAGGTTTTAAGGTGATTCAGGAGGAAAGAAAGATCCAGTCCTGTGTCCAGGGTTTAGCAGTGACCAGTATGGGATGCTGGCTGGGGGAATTACCTCCTGCTGGGAACTTGGAACAGATCAAGTTCAGGGGTCAGGAGGACTCCCCCAGAAGTTAAAGCGCAGCCAGGAGGTGTGTGTCCTGGAGGCACACAAAGACAGTCAAGGAGGCTGGAGACAACTGGTGGGGCTAGGAGAGCCGCAAACCTGAGGGGCTGCCAGTACAAGTGTGGGACCGCACTTCCAAGAGTACCGGTGGATCAGAAGTGGTAACGTGTAACGTGGAAGCCAGGAGGCTAAAGCTTTGTGGTTCTAAAACATTGCATGGATGTTATGCTGAACAACCCCTGCAAGGGTATTCAAGGTGGATGCATGAACTTTAGTTTGAATTAAAGTGGTCTACCAGGCTCTTAAACAGAAGATATTGTGAGTGGACTTCATCACCAGACGGGAAAAAAGTCCCAGCATATCCTTTTCTATCACTGTATTATCATTGTTCATCTTAATTGTACTGAAATGAACTCTCTTTCAACATTTCCAGCATTAAATCAGAATTCCATTCCCATTACTTACCTTTGCATTCTCCCTGTCCTCCTCAGCATAAAGTTTCTTTGGCCATCTCCTGCCATTAATGCAAGCAATTTCTGATTCTTATGGGCCAATTCTTTCCACTGTTTTTATTTCCAACAAATTTGTTAGAGTAAGAATATAATTTGTTAGATTACTATGACAAGTTACTCGCTAATGATGCATTTTTAAAACCAAGAGTGTAAAATTAGAATGTATTGCATTTCCAACATATTTAATAGAGAAAAAGGGGACCAAGCACACACAGACTGAACCCAGCTACAAACCGGTTGAAGGGATTCATGCTTTGCAAAGCTATTCAAGGTGTTAATTGCCACGGATGCGCCTGGTCCGAACCCACTGTTCATCAATCACATGTAACTATAGGCAGTTCTGAACCGAGCAAGCCGTCACAAGGATGTGGCAATACCACTCCCAGCCTTAGGCCTTGTTCACACCAAGCGCGTTCCAGGAGCAGAGCAGTTACAGACTGGATCAAAACTGCGTCCAATGTATTCCAATGGTTTTTTAGGCTCTAGTTCACATACCGCAGCGTTCAGTTCCAGAGCATGTAAAAAAACTGCAGCAAGCCCTATTTTACCTGCTCTGGAACGCATAAAAACGCATAATTTTTTTTAACCAAAAACGGCCCGGAACGCATAAAAAACGTGGCAAAAACGGCACAGTTAACCCTTTACCCACAAACCTTAGCTGCCATCATGTGTTTTTTCATTTTAAATCATGAACCGCTACCAGCTAATACTGTGACAATTCAAAAAACTTAAACAAAGCCTATGATACCTCTGTCTTTTCAGACAGGAATATGACAAGTTTCACTATACATCAGCACTCTTCATAGAGACAAGGATACTTTAAGTTCTTATTTAGAGCGTAGAGATGAGCTTAATGCTTATTAAGATAGTCCTTTAATAAAAGAAATGGTGCAGAAAAATATACAAACAAAGATGTTAATAAAGAGAGACAAAATATGTAACAACAGTAAAAAGTAAAAAAGAATAAAAAGAGAGTACTTAACAAGTCTGGGGTTTATAGATTCTGACAGTCCAGTTCAATGCACAAAAGATGGGTCTGAATGACTCTTCTCCAAGCAAGGCTTGCACAGATTCTTTCCTGATGTTAAAGGGGAACTCTTCTTGGAGCTTTGGTGTTACAAGCTTCTTGATGTTGCGAGAGTCCCTCTTTTTGATGTTAAAACAAGAGCCCTTCACAGCTGCCTCTGCAGCATCTTTTTGTCAGCCCTCAAGAGTGTGTCACAGAGCCAGCCCATAAGGCAGGGCTGGGGATGGGGAGCAGGAGGACTAAACCTTACAATGTCCTCCTCTGCTCCTCCTTAACTGTCAAATTCATATCTAAGAATATAGTTGAACATTCATACACAATACTGTCCGACAACCCCAAAATTATTGTACTCTCTGAAATATTAGCTTTATACTGAGACCAAACTTACCATATACATATATATATATATATATCCTCCCAAATTCATATCTAAGAATATAGTTCAACATTCACACACAATAGTCTCCAACATCCCCTAAATTCTGCACCATGAAATTAGATTCCTACGGAGAACAAACTTGGTGTATATATAAATTATGGTTGGCCCAGGAGGGTTACTGTGGCGTATAAGGTCTCTGACCATCATACCAGTCCATAATTGATATGTATAGTGTATATGGATAGTCTTGACAAGACACAGATATTTGTGCAATTATTTTATATTATCACTCTCCAATTCCAAGTAATACAATTGGGTTGATGATGTAACTCAGTTGCATGACTCAGTGAGATGCAAGTTTACCAAGGTCATTATCCTTGCCAGATCCTCTTGTATTTACCTAAATCTTTCAAATGCTAATGTATTGATGATCTGCAGGGGATTAGCTGAGCTGGGCAAGGCAATTACCATGGTATTAGTGATTTATAATACCAATCGTAAAAGAGTAATTTAGCTAATCCAAACCAGTCCCAAGGAAAGCTCTAGATATACAATTGGGTTTTAGCGCTTCACTAAGGACTATAAACATTGCCAGCCCAGATTGACAGATATCGTTGCTGGAATTTGAAGATAGCTAAACCAAATGGGCAACCTGAGGTCATTTGAACTTAATTGAGGGCTTAATTTGTTCTAAGATGAGAGAAAAGAGAATTTCATACTTAATAATACTATGCTCAAACCTCCTTATTGTCACATTCAGGACATAAATATATGCCCTTTGCTGGGATTTTCCTTGCAACATATGTAAAATGATACAAGGCCCAGTGTCCAGAGTACAGAGGACAGGGGTGACAGTTGAGGAAACTTAATCAATACAATGAGCAGGGGCAAATGTCATAGTTAGGTAGTGTAAGTAGACAACAGAATGAAAGCAGAAAGTCAGAATGGGTGCAACATTGTACCAAAAC